CTTCCCCCCCGCGGGCTGCAGAGCTGCTGCTGCCCGTCCCCGCACCACGCTGCGACTCGACTCCCTGCCAGCCTCCAAACCCCAGCGCGGAGGTCTCAGCCCCAGCACCGATGGGTGAGTATTCAGCCCCCCAGGCACAAGCCAGCCCCAGGAAATCTCTGCAAAGACTCCAGTTCCTCACTGCCGGTGGGAACTGGGAACCCAGCTCCGGATTTTTTCAGGTGAGGGCAGTTGTGCGGCACGCAAGGAGCCAGGAAGGCCACACGAGATGGAAAGCTCGGAGAGGAGGCTGCGAAAGAAAGGAGCCTTGAAGCTGGCCCGAGGAGTGCTCCCCAGTTGAGCTGTGCGGGGCTCTGGCTGCCCCTCCCATGGCTGACGCAGGCTGGGGGGGTCACTCTTGCATCAGGCTGTTGATCTTTGTAAGCAGCACATCCGTCTCGGACTCTGGGGAGACAGAGAGAAAAATCAGTCGTCGCCAGCAGCCACCACCCTGCAGTGACAGGTGGAGCAGCCTGAAAAGCAGGCTTGAGGAGACCTGGGGAGTGTGGGATTCCCCAGCGCTGTCCCACAAGGACAGGAACTCCCTGGGCTGGGATTCCCTTCCCTCTCCTGGCCATCCTAAACCACTCCGTCATGCTCGGCTGCCTGCCTGCCAGGGAGAGTCCCGCAGGCACAGCCTGGCTCCAAGGGAGGGGAGCTCACACCGCTGCACACTTACCTGCTGGCTGCCTTCTCTGGGAGCATCTCCTAGGAGTTGGAATGGGATCGATGTTAGCATGTAAGTCTGGCCTCCCCCTTCCCTCCCCCAAGCTCCCAGCCGTAGACGGTGGGGCCCCACAGCACACACAGTCCCACAGGGATCTGATCTCGATGCCTGCAGCACTGGTAAAGGAACAGGGCCAAGGTTCCCCAGCTTCATCCCACCAAATCCTGGGGTGCAGAGCGAGCTAACAAGTGTGAACTAAGATATCCAGCAGCTTGAGGAAGGGTCTGACCAGATTTTTAGCTGCAGCCTGGTGATAAAAGCTGCCTCCGTGTACTTCTGTCTCAGCCAGACAGGAGAGGACTCCCCAGGGTGTCAGCAGGGTGGCAGCAGATATGCCCGGGTTTGGGTACATACCAGCCACCCAGGGCACACTACAGCCTCCCCCAACAGAACTGCCCCAGGAGGGGGAAGGAATCAAACGTACTTCAGCAAGAGGAAGGCCCAGAGGATGGCAAGGAAGGAAGCACAGTCTACAACAATCCAGATCATGAGGTACGTGCTGCTGGGCTGCAAGGCAACAAGACAGGCCATGAACACCGGCCAGGGGTGGTGTGCCGGCGGCACAGCCCAGCCTGCTGTGCCAGCAGTCACAGAATCACAGAATCACAGAATCACAGAATGGTCGGGGTTGGAAGGGACCTCTGTGGGTCATCTAGTCCAACCCTCCTGCCGAAGCAGGGTC